TTAGAGATGGTCTCTGAGTCATACTTGTGACCTGCGTAGTGCCTTGGGCTTCACTGTCAAGCAGAGGGAAGCATTTGCGTCTCGACTTACGAAACCTATAGATCTTCCTTTGGTCATGGCGGTTTAATCAGTTATAGGCCTGGGTGTCATTCTCGACCCAAGGTAATTAGTGTTAAACACATCTACGTATAACTCCATGACCTCAAACTGTTTAATAAATACAAACTCAGCTGCGATGATTATGGAAATGATGTACAGGTTTCGTCAGGGAATGCGTAGATGTCTTACGAATCCTAGAACAGCTGGGCATTTAACACAAAACACGAACTGGGGGCCAGTTCTCGGGATGGCGTGTATAATGTATGAGGCAAGTTGTAGAATGCAGCAGCTGCGTCTTGTTGTTGTATGAGGACAACTACGTCCGCATTAACTAACACTAAGCCAAGCTGACAATAACATACGCTGGCTATCAGGACCATTAAGACAACATAATGTCGCTGAAGGAGTCGTTTAGAGTGAGCCTCGAGGGACAGTGTGTGTGGAAGACGCCAACCAGTGACTCACGTCTGGTGGAATGTCTTAAGTTCTTATATAGATCTTCATGATATTCAGAAATATTGATCATGCAAGTAATATGTCTGTCAGCAGACAGGTTCTGCACACCGTGCTTCAGAGTCTGACAACATGGCATTGGATCATGAAACGGATTTCACTATCTTCACATTATTATTGTATATATACATTTACATCATGGTAGTCTATGGCTGTCTCCCATGCACTCTGACCCAGGTGAAGGAAGTTCATCCAGACTTAGCTTATGTTACTCATTTATCTGACTGTTTAACCCGTCTGGCTATATAGCATTATATAGCCATACTTTACAGGGTTACGGGGACTAAATAGAAGGTGGGATAGGTGGGACGAAGGGAAGAAACGGTGCCCAACCTCTTGCAACATCGGGATTCGAACATTTGTAGCAATTTTTGGCTCAGTAACTACATCCGATAGTTTGCTTGTTGAATGTTAAATAGTTCGCACACATCCACCAATGAGGGCGCACCACTACGTCTTGTCAACACAACTACCTGACCCTATTTAACCATAAAACCTGACGTTGTTGTTATTGTTTTAGATTCAGCTACTCAGAACAAAAAGTTCCAAGTAGCACGGGCTATGGTGAGCCCGTAAGTGGAGGCTCCTTGGAGTCATTATCTGTATCAATACCTGATACTAGAGATCAGTGGATGGATGGGGTCTTCATGATGGTTTTCACCCCAGGAGGACTGGCTGTACCAGTTATGAAGCTGGTGGGTTAGTGTAGACTTCTAGGTCTTCCATTTTTTCTTTGCCTGAGACTTTGGCTGAGCCGAGCTGTCGTTGTCGTTATGTGAGGTGGCCTCCATGAGGAGGTCTTGTGCCGAGTAGGTGTCGTATTTGTGGTGTGGCGGTGGAGCTCCTGCTAAGATTTCCTCGTCTGAGGAGTCCATAGGTGGTGTTTTCGTCTTTCGCCTTGCAGCCTGTGGTAGACTCAAGTGTCGTGGACTGGTGGTAGACGGTATGTCAGCAGTTATGGTGGTGCTGTTAGCATTTGTAGACAGCACATCTGCAAGCGCGGCTGCTGAGATGGTGATGGTAGGAGTGTTGGGAGCTGGAGAGGGAAATACCTCTGTTTGTGCCGCCCGGGTCATAGATGGTTCTGGAGTCTATGTTGACATCGACCTCGTGGTCGTCCTGGTGGTAGCCGGAGTGGTAGTGGAGGCATTGAGACTTGCGCCAGGAGCTATGATGGGGTCCAGGCCATTGGCAAGGTATAATGTGTTCAGTTCACTGACAAAAAGGTGGCTGTCTGGTCCGGCAAGCCTCTCCGCTAGTCAAATAAGACCAGGAATAATGCCTACGTGATGCAGGGGGCTGTGAAGGAGCCTGTGAGGCCTTGGGTCCCCATTGTTAAGGCTCGGATGCCTGGTGGAAGGAGCCACTCTTTGGTAAGATTGGAAAGTCTTCTGGTCGGTTGGTGGGAACTGAGGTAATGGGTTGAACGCCTGGGGCTCTGGTCGCGGCGGTAGAAAGATTGTTTCTCTTGGCTTCTACCTGATTCTTAATGTTTTCCTGTCTGCGGGGGCAGCGGTAGGAAACTGTGGGGTGATTGCCATCACAGAGGAAGCAGCGATGGGTGGTTGCCTTGCATATGGAGTAGTGATGGTCCAGTGCGCACAGGCTGCACCTCTGGACAGGGACCTGACATTTGTTGGTGGGGTGGGAGAGCTCGTAGCACTTGAAGCACTGCTGGATCTCATGGTTTCGTTCCAGTTTTTACTTGGTGGGGTTGTATTTGTAAGCCGAAGCCGTAGAAACCTTGTCTGGCAGCCTGGGTGGCCGCAGCTTTGGTGGTGAAAGTAATTTTCACCGATGATTTGTCGGTGCTGCTGAATTCTAGGTTGAATACACTCAGGTTCGGATTTTCGTCCTCGGTATTGTCCATGATCTTACGATAGGATGTAGTTGGTGCTCCACCTCAGGTCTTAAGACCTGAGGAAGGTCATAGCTTATATAGAGCCTCAGCTCCTGACGACTAGGTTAAATAAAGACTGTAAAAGTCACTCACGCTATGATCATCTGTTTTCTTATTTTTTTATTTTATATTTTTATATATACATGCAAAAGCATGCTACATATATGACAAGGACAAGGAAAAAAAAAACAAGAAAACAAATCAACAATAAAAGTACAAAGTAATAAAACAATAAGCCCCAAACCAAACCTAACGCAAACACACGACTAACACAGGACATAAGTACATGACACACATACACACAAAGACAATACACAAGGCAGTCCGAAACGGACATCAAATCCCCCACACGATACAGGCAATACATAGAAATACATATTTACAATAAACCAAAAGCCTGAAGGGCCTACAATATATATACATGAAATGAAAATGACTAAACATACTTGTCTGGAAAACTCAGCCCTAGGATACCTTATACAATACGCCTCCCATACCACCCAGTCATTCTGGGTAAGGCGACCGTCCGGCGGCGGAGTAGGGCTCCGCATAAAGTCCGGAATATCACCAATAAAACTTTGCACCCACACAGGCGGCAGGTTCACGGGGCCCAGCGGAACACCGGCCCCCGACATGGGGCTTGACCCCACGGCAGCCACCGACACGGTGCTCTTCAACAAACCCGATTGTGGTGCCGGCTTTGTTGCATTATACCTAGCCAATGGCCTGGACCCCCATATAGGGGCAAGTCCACTGCCATACCACTCCAGAGCTACCACCAGGACGACACGAGGTCGATGTCAACACAGACTCCAGAACCACCCATGACCCCCGACACCACATGGGATAAACGCGCAAGAGGCTGCGGAACAGGGGCCGAAGCTGCAGGGGGCGGTAACTCACTTTGCCGCTGCACATCGGAGAGCCCCCCCCCCGGCGCATATCATTTTTTGAGGACTACCACTAGGTCACGGGCGTCACCAGATACCGCAGGAGGGGGCACCACCTCCCATTTCGGGAAGCCCACAGCAGGGAGAGCACAGGGAGCAGCTCAGAACCCCCAACACCTTCGCCTGCGTCTTCCGCATGGACCTCCGCCGCCACCACTACCGCCGCATCTGCAACAACATCACCAAGTACCGCCACCTTGCCGTCAGTAGACACAACTTGCAAACTCACCCACATCCGCCCAGCAGGCATTCGCCGAGTCCAAACCAGGCGAAGAACGCCTCGAGTGCTTAGGATCTGGGTATAGATCATCGGAAATCTCCACAGCCACAGAATACGAGACCCGGGAGATGCAGGAAGTCCGAACCCTGGCACGCCGCATGACCTCAGCGCAGCGATGACATCGGGGGGTTGGACCAGGCATGGCAGGAGGCCGTGACTCCCCACTCCACCGGCACAGCAGGTAAAGGCGACGGGCACGCAGAGACAAAAGCTCCACGAGCACAGAGCAGAATAGACGCAGAAGAGGGAAGCAGAGGAAGGGGCTCCACACCCGCGCCGATAGCACGATCAGCAGCCTTAGAGCACACATCCGATAACGGTACATCATCTGGCGCCCGACCCCCACCAAGAGCAGCTGCCCCATCCGACACACGGAGAGGCACAGCATCCACAGACACGCCCACAGCCACACCCTCCGAAGCCTCTTTAACAGCTAGCAGAGGAAAATCCTCCTTCAGAATAAGTTCACTCTCTCCAGGACGCCCGCAGAGCACCCAGCAGCCAGGTGGCCCAACATCCCACAACGAAAACATATCTGGGGCTGCCAGGCATAGTATACACCGATGTAGAACTTCATGGGCTTGACAGAAGACGGGATGTCCGACCGAAGCTGCATTTCAAGGGTGCGGATGCCATTTTGAACGCCCCGTAAACGACCGGACGAAATGACATTCATCCGTACACTCACAACTTTCCCAAACTGCCCGAAGTACCTCCGCAGTAACACCTCCGGGAATTCTTTAGGAGCGCTATGAACACTGACATACGTTGAAACGCCACTGCTGTCAGAGACAAAAACTGACCCAGCGGCCCCCAGCAATTGGAATGTCCGACCTTCAAACTGGCACAGAAACACCCAGTTATCCTTCCTCTTCAGCAGCCAACTTCACCACCGCTCGATGGGTAGTTAACAGCTCCACCCCACACACGACAGCCACATCCAGACCCAGCACATCACACAGCGTCAGCTCCGCTGTAGGGTAGTCCACCTTGCCGGAAAACTCCAGTCCAACAGACTGAGCCCGCAACACAGTGGTAATGGGGCCCCCAATCACACAAAGCCGCAGCCAACCACCACGTCAACAAGAAGCTGCTAGTTGGGCACACCAGCAACTGGCGAGAGCAGAACGGGACGATCTCCCCCTCTGGTGGCAGACACTGGAATCCTCATCTCTTTTCCTAATGGAGAGCCATGAGCAGGGGTCACAGTATGAGTGGGGTTGGCCACACCACTCATACTCACACACCACCGGCATACTCACACACCGCCGGCATACTCATCAGTGCTGGAGACCCCGAGGTATATAAACAGTGACACGGCAGCTGGCTGACACGACAGCGGGCTGACACGGCAGCGGGCTGACACGGCAGCTGGCTGACACGGCAGCGGGCTGACACGGCAGCGGGCTGACACGGCAGCTGGCTGACACGGCAGCTGGCTGACACGGCAGCGGGCTGACACGGCAGCGGGCTGACACGACAGCGGGCTGACACGGCAGCTGGCTGACACGGCAGCGGGCTGACACGGCAGCGGGCTGACACGGCAGCTGGCTGACACGGCAGCTGGCTGACACGGCAGCTGGCTGACACGGCAGCTGGCTGACACGGCAGCTGGCTGACACGGCAGCGGGCTGACACGGCAGCGGGCTGACACGGCAGCGGGCTGACACGGCAGCGGGCTGACACGGCAGCGGGCTGACACGGCAGCGGGCTGACACGGCAGCGGGCTGACACGGCAGCGGGCTGACACGGCAGCTGGCTGACACGGCAGCTGGCTGACACGGCAGCGGGCTGACACGGCAGCTGGCTGACACGGCAGCTGGCTGACACGGCAGCGGGCTGACACGGCAGCTGGCTGACACGGCAGCTGGCTGACACGGCAGCTGGCTGACACGGCAGCTGGCTGACACGGCAGCGGGCTGACACGGCAGCGGGCTGACACGGCAGCGGGCTGACACGGCAGCGGGCTGACACGGCAGCGGGGTGACACGGCAGCGGGGTGACACGACAGCGGGCTGACACGGCAGCGGGCTGACACGGCAGCTGGCTGACACGGCAGCGGGGTGACACGGCAGCTGGCTGAAACGGCAGCGGGCTGACACGGCAGCTGGCTGACACGGCAGCGGGGTGACACGGCAGCGGGGTGACACGGCAGCGGGCTGACACGGCAGCGGGGTGACACGGCAGCTGGCTGACACGGCAGCTGGCTGACACGGCAGCGGGCTGACACGGCAGCGGGGTGACACGGCAGCGGGGTGACACGGCAGCGGGGTGACACGGCAGCTGGCTGACACGGCAGCTGGCTGACACGGCAGCTGGCTGACACGGCAGCGGGCTGACACGGCAGCTGGCTGACACGGCAGCTGGCTGACATAGTGCGGTGTTTTTATAACTTTGTCGACGTTCAGAATGTTTCGACAGCTGATCTTGAGGTTGTGGAATGTATTTTTTATACGACATTCCGCCGGGATAACTGCCAGTACCAGTATGTTAGTGGGCCTGACTCGACGGCGTCTACACCACCTTTCATCTATTACCTTTTGTCCTATTTTCTCTCTATTAGAGAGGCCGTCCTCGCCCACTTTGGCAATTTCCCCTCTGTGAAGTGTTGTGATCATATCCTCTCTAGTCCTTTAACAATGATTCAGATCCCTTAATGTTGTTTAGTTCTCGTAACTCACCTCCGTGCCATCCCAAATCCTTATCCTGGCCTCTTCTTAATGCTGTATAGTCGTAACAGCTTGGCGGTTTCTCCTGATAATTCCTTCTCGTAACTGCTTTACAAACTATGAGAAAATCTTTGGAGTAGGACTGAGATAGAACCTGCGTCCTGGGTGGCCCCAGACACGCGTGTTATCCCTGGTCCCAAGATGTTCTCAGAGATATCACGTTATTGCCAAATGATTGTGTAAACTCTTCATGAATGCTCTCGTGCTTGACGAGGTGCGTGTTCTCTTATTGGCCTTATATAGGCTGTGAATATTGTCTTGAAAAACGTACTTTAGTATTTATTTCTATGATCTTATCCCTCCAAGGCGACTCAACCTCTGGAACCGAGGTTTCAACTGCAAATCAGACATTGTTTTCAGAGAGCGTGTCTCTCATGTCACTGTGTGAGAAAGAAATTTTTATGTTTTACCTTCCAAGAAGATGCGGCCTACCCATTCCTGTTCAGTCATAGTTTAGTGATCTTGATAAAAAACAAAACTCTTTCAAGTTTATCCTCTCCAGGAGCTCCAATATTCACCCCATGAGTACTTACTCTTGTTTAGCGCAGGGTAAACACGTCCCTGCCACTGGTCAAGAATTCAGTGCCTCCTGGCAGACCTATTTCTTAATAAAAGAGGAACTATGATTGTTTTTTTTTCATATTTCCAGTCTCCTTTGTTGTGTTGAAGATCTTGATCAACGACTTCCAAGTACTGATGTTGGCTCCTTCAGCAGGCATGCGTGTGTGAATAAGTCTGGCTCTGATGCCTTCATTCCGTCTAGTTCTTTCTGGCGGAATTATACCTGTTCTTTAGTCCACCATAACACTCCCAACCACTTGGGCTGGACGGTAGAGCGACGAGTTCGTTTCTTGCAGGTCGGCGTTCAATACCCGACCGTCAAGGTGGATGGCCAACATTCCTTCCCCCGTCCCTTCCCAGAGCTATATAGTCGTAATGGCTTAATGCTTTCTCCTGATAATTCCCTCCCTCCTCTCTAACGTTGAGTCCGTCCATGTCAAGTCCATTACTTTTTATTTCTTCGTGACTTCGAGGGAAAGTCCAACTAAATATTGACGTCAAGTGAATACGTCGTCGTTGTGAAGATGCGTGACGCATAGCAGTCAGACCTGGCACCCTTGACGTCACCTGGTCCGACCCGTGTACTGTGTGACCTCATTCACCTGCTGCCTCAACATGGGTCACTACTGTGACCTCATTCACCTGCTGCCTCAACATGGGTCACTACTGTGACCTCATTCACCTGCTGCCTCAACGTGGGTCACTACTGTGACCTCATTCACCTGCTGCCTCAACATGGGTCACTACTGTGACCTCATTCACCTGCTGCTTCAACATGGGTCACTACTGTGACCTCATTCACCTGCTGCCTCAACGTGGGTCACTACTGTGACCTCATTCACCTGCTGCCTCAACATGGGTCACTACTGTGACCTCATTCACCTGCTGCTTCAACATGGGTCACTACTGTGACCTCATTCACCTGCTGCCTCAACATGGGTCACTACTGTGACCTCATTCACCTGCTGCCTCAACATGGGTCACTACTGTGACCTCATTCACCCGCTGCCTCAACATGGGTCACTACTGTGACCTCATTCACCTGCTGCTTCAACATGGGTCACTACTGTGACCTCATTCACCCGCTGCCTCAACATGGGTCACTACTGTGACCTCATTCACCTGCTGCCTCAACATGGGTCACTACTGTGACCTCACTCACCTGCTGCCTCACCATTGATGCACTACTGGGACCTCTGCTCACTGATAACTTGTTAATAGTGACTGTGAGAGGGTTTGACTCAGCTGTTTGTGAGGAATGACTGTCAGGAAGCCCCAGAGTGTACAGCCCGATTTGATGTTTCAGCCAGTTAGCGGAGAGAAGACTGACAGCGTTAAAGAGGTTCTCTTAGAATAGAATGCAAGAAGGCAAATAGGTTTAAACCTAGCAAATGATTGCTTCCAATTTCGTCGTCAGCAGCGCAGTCACACCTTGGACCACTCAAGAGGCAACGGGACGCAATCACCCAAATCAGTGAAACTTAGTGAAATCTGGTGACATTATACCGTGGAGTTTTATCACAGAACCCAAGATATGTTCTCCAACTCTCAGGCGGCATTTATTGATCTCCAAACTGCTTTTGATACAGCAAACAAAGAAATAATCCTAGAACAGCTAGCCTCTTTTGGAGTTAAGGGAAGACTGTTGACATGGCTCAGGGGGTACCTGAGTAACAGAACCGCCTCAGTCCTTTTCAAGGGGGTCAAAAGTAAACTCTGTGCACCCTTTGAGTTGGGTACACCCCAGGGTGGAGTGCTAAGTCCCACATTGTTCAATGTTCTGATGCACAAATTAACAATTGATATTCCCACACTACCTGACGAAGCCGTCATTTGTTATGCCGATGATATATGCATTGTTGCAAATTCCCAAACTAGACTGTAAGCTCTACTTGATTCATTCGCTGCTAAAAGCATTGAATGTGGTCTTGTTATCTCTATAACTAAATCCAGAGTTCTCCATCCCCAAGAGAAAACTCATGTCCCTATAGCTTTCAAGGTCAACAGCCAGAACATTGAAACGTGTGGGCAGCACAAATACCTTGGAGTTGGTATTAACAGTGACATTGTAAATGATCTACACCGTAGGTTAAAAGAAAGACTAAAACCATTGAGAACACTTACTGGTAAGAATATTGGTATCAATATTAAATATGCTAGACTATTCTATATGATGTTTGTTAGATCTCTCGTTGATTATAATGCTCTGCACTTAATTAATTTCCCCTCCTCTGTGTTGGACAAACTTGAAGTAATACAGAACGAGGCCATGAGGATAATTCTTGGTGCCCCAAGATGCACAAGAATCATCAACATGAGGGAAGAACTGAAGTTTCCAACCATACTAGAGAGAATAATGCAAGTTAACACTACCTTCTGTCTTAAAGTCATGAGAGATCCTACATCTCCTGCATTGCTCAGAGACAAATTATTTAGTGCTGTTAACACCCTTTTGACTGGTGCCGACATACCAACTCACTCCTTTTATGATAATTGGCTGAGAAACAATGCTTACAATCTCATTAAACTTAACATTCCTTTTAAGTGCAATCTACCAGTCTCTGATATTCCTCTTTATCTGTACCCCACCATTCAAGTATCATACACACCTGTCACCAAGAAAGATAATGAGAATCTTGCTCTACTCAAAGCTGTCACTCTTGAAACAATTGCCTCCTCCATCGAGAGTCTAAGATCTCACGAGCACTGTGTCTACACCGACGGCTCAGTCCAGTCTTCTACTGGACGGACTGCAGCGGCATGTAGGTTTTATAGAAATAATATCTGCACAAAGTCTGTCAGTGTCAGGTTAAACAACTGGCTGACCTCCACACAAGCAGAACTAGCAGCATTACATTTAGCAACCAGCACATTAAAAAATATTGGAGGAGGAATAATATTCTGCGATTCAAAGTCTGCTCTTCAAGCAATCGAAAACTTCTCTTGGAAGATCGACAGCAAGAACCTAATACTCCCAATTATAAATGACCTAATTGATGCACAGAGTAAAGGGTCTCGAATCTCCTTTGTATGGATACCTTCACACATAAATATAACCCATCATAATGAGACAGACATTGCAGCCAAATTAGCGTGTAACAAGTTTGAAGTTGAATTAGATCTAGGTATCCCCATCTCTGCTGTCAAAACTGTATTGGTCCAAACATTCAGATCTGATAGGAAAGAACTTACTGACTCCCAACGACCTGAAAGTACTAGTATAAAAAGCTATGATTTGTTCAGATCTGAAACCTACATCTATGGACAGCACAAAACGTCCACTAGACTGTGCGACACAGTGGTTGCAAGGATCAGGTTGGGTTACCGTTACCTGTGGCAGGTGGCTGCAGGTGACGGGTCTCCCAATCCTGAGCACTCCAGTTGCAAACTCTGTGAGCAGGAACTACGGTATGATCTCCCGCACTACATCACTGAATGCCCAGTTATTAGACCTTTCAGACCAGTTGGCATGAGGTACCTGGAGCTTTGCAATTACTTTATTCACTCTCGTATTCTTGAAGATATCCTCACAGTATACCCAAAATTTGCCAGTGCAGGCTATTAAACACATGGCCCTGTATGACTAACCATCCTGCGAGATGGGGACTTGTATTACCACTGCTACCTTATTCAATCTTGTGTTGTTGATATCCTCAAAATGCATCCGGAGTCTGCCAGTGCAGACCGCCTATCACATGTCTCTGTATGACTAACCATCCTGTGTGATGGGGATTTTTTAGCATCACCTAGTTAGCTTTTTTTGACACACTGTACTCCATTTCATATAGTCTAGGGTAGCTGCGCTAATGCAGATGTACCTCATGTATTAATAAAAAAAATGTTCTCCAGGTTCAGGAGCCGCGGAAGAGCGTCCGCACTCCAGGTCAGCCAGAAAGGAAGTGACGACGAGTAAGGGTGCTGCCTCGCGAGGTTGACAATTCGTGCACTCAAGCCCGACGATAGCAGCTCGTGATTCGTTTAGGATTTGGAATTGAAAAGTTGATCAGCATAGCCTAAAACGTTTGGGATATTTTGTGTATGTTTTCCTTATGAGAATATTACTAGAGCTATAAAGCAGGACAAT